TTTTTCATTTGTAAAAGTATATATTAATAGTGTTGCTTAGTAAGTTGTTTTTAAATAATAGCAAACTAAATTAAAATGATTATCCGTAATTAATTTTAACTTTTTAAATTACACATAGAACAATTATATGGCTTTAATAATTAATACTATATTTTTATATTTTTATTTATGGTTATAAATATAATAATGGCAACACTGAATATAGATTACTAATTAATATTTTTAAAATTGTAATAATTATAAAAATAATAGCAAAAATTAAATAAATAATTTTCCATATTCAATTATAATTAAAATTATAAAAAATGTTTAAAGTTAAAAATATTGTAATGTAATTGGTGCAATTTTCATTTTGTTAATTGTGGGTAGGCTGTCTGTAACAACTATATCTTTAAGACATGTAACACCTCAGTCTCTCCCGTGACCATGGATGCTGTAAAGCATTCGAAACGTCGGGAACCAAAAATCAAAATAAATCCGCGAAATAATCCGAAAAGATAGTTTTATTTAATAATGTCAAACATTCGCGTAAATCTAAGAAAGACATAGATTCTATCATGGAACGGACATTAGTTACATTTATCTCCGTCTCGCTTACCAGTTACCATGCAAACGAAACTGCAGGCCGAAACTAATTGATAATACATATTCACTAAGTTTCTATCATAAAACATAAGTTATCAATTTGTGTCTGTCTTTTTCTGAAAAAATCTACGTGAAATGTAATAAAATAAACGATGCTTGCGATTGTTAAGACGTATGTTGCAGAAACTGATTATACTAAATTACCCTCGCTTCGCGCAGGTGCGTCCCTAGGTACAATTTTGCTTACAATTTCATAGGTTCTAATTTATTTGCGCGGAACCCTAATTCTTTTTCTAAAATTAAAGTAGCCTAAGTTACTCCCTAATCACTATAACATCAGCGTTCTGCCAGTGAAAGTCTTGTCAAAATCGGTCCAGAAGCTTCGGAGATTAGCCGAAACAAACAGACAGACAGATAGACCATAATTTTAAAAATTGATTTTTTAAAAGTACAATATATATATTTTCATATGCATTTAGTAAAAAGCAGTTATTTTGGTATTACAAACAGATATTTCAATTTTATTTATCTATATGTATAGATAGATAGATAGATAGATGACTTTACCTACTGTGCAACGTGAATTTTTACATTAACTAATACCTAATCACGGCTTTGCCCGCATTTTTTATTTAATTTAATCCATATTATTATTAACAATACAATTGAAACTTTACATAGTCAGGTAGGTACGTTTACTATAGCGATTTAGATCACATTCAAAACAATATAATAGCATTCTTTCCATCATATGATTAATAGTGTGTCAAATCTCGATTCCAGTCACTTATGGTTCACATTATATAACAATTGATAATGAATATTCAGGATCTATGTTGTTATATACGTCGTTTATACGATTGACTCACAATCTGAGTCCTGTCACTTTGTGTAAAATAATACTTATAATAAATATTTGTATTAAAACCGTTATGGAATTTAAATGTTAATTTTCTTTGTTTTTAATAAAAATATTATTACCATTTAGTTGACCGAAACGATCATAAGATTTTATGTAAACTTGTAAAGCCTACAATTAAACGTTCTTTTAATTGGCATATAAAGTTAATTTTAAATAAGGTTGATTTTCGATATTACTACATGATATTGTGACGTTATACTAATCTTATAAATAAAAATTAATCGCTAATTGAGTTGCTAAGTGCAAAACTGAGAACGGCTGCACCTACTTGGCTAATATATATTTTTTGTTGTATTTATAATTGTCAGGACAGTTTTATAAGAAAGATTTTTTTTGAAAATCCATACCAATGGAAAATTTGGACTATGAGTATATTTATGTATGAAAGTCTAATGTTATAAAACGTGTCGTTCAGTTTGACAGTTTTCATAATAACAAAAAAAAATAGGTATACATCATTTTATATACATACATATGTAGACGTTTTTTCGTAAAATAATTCTTCTGAGAATGAAAAGATATCCTATACCATACATTACAAGTTATGAAAAAACTTTAAATAAGATCTGTATATAAAATATTTTATATGTATATAAGATCTTTTAAACGTACCTAGCTGGACCTAGAAACAACGAGGGTAAGTCGCCCAGTTTTATTATAAAATTAATAGCTACCAAGTGCCGACTAAGTCTAACCATTATTCACATATGTTTTCAAAAGTGTACCTACCTACAATGCTACTAATTATAAAAAAGGATCAAAGGACATTATCTAATCTGATAAATAAATATTGATGGTAATAATGTAACACGTTTGATTTTTATCGCTATAAAAATTCAAAACAAGATAAAGTGCCTTTTTTATGCATAAAACAAAAAATCCATCAGTAAATTTGGTATTGTTACGAAATAGATAATTTGAATTCCAATAAAATACAGGATTGTTCTCGAATTTTATGTTAAGTGTGAGTTCTTTTTTTTAAATTAGTAATGTTATAATGATAATTTGTGTATATATTATTATCTACCAGCGACTTACCCTCGCTTCACCCTCCTTTAGGTGATTCTTTAGTTTGACATAACTTTTTAATTGATGAACCGATTAAAATAACACAGTACATATACAGCAATCCGTTACAATTTTATTATATATACAGATTATTACTACAGTTAAACTATCGAAAACTTAACGAAAGTGCGCAAATGTTCTAGGAATGCTAACTCAAGGGTCTTACAAGTAACTCATATAAACTTAATCACAGTGCCAATGCTGGATTTACACTAAGGGCACTCGGGGCTAGGGCCCAAGGCGGCAAATTTTTAGGTGCGGCAAAATCCGAAGGATAAATAAAAAAAAACTTAAAAAAAAAATGTTTTTTTATTTTCCTAAAAATGAATAAATAAAAAATTTAACAATTTTTGCGTCAATTAAAAAATAGGACTTTTTCGAAACTTTATCCATTTTATGCGAAATTTCGATAATGGGGCGGCATTTCTTACATTGCCCAGGGGCGACGCTAATATTGAATCCGGCACTGTGACAGTCCAAGCACTACTACTCTACGTGCTACTTCATTAGATAAGTAAGTCCTCCCAATAACAACAATCATATAGAATATTATAATTATATAGCAATTAGTACTTTTTTATTTTAATCATGAGCATTCACTGTTTTGCTGAAACATCAAACAAGCGATACTTAGGAGTTAGAATATGTATTTTAACGTGTATGGTTACCCAGTTAGACCATAATATTTTTTATTTAATTATATACTCCGTCTACCTTTTTTCCAGACTTTAGTTAAAAAAAATTGAATATAATTAACAAATATTTATAAAGTCAATGTATTTAATGTGTAATTAGAAATTCATTCCGTATAATATACAACAACAGACCTATAATAACTTTTGAATCAATCTAAAATTTACCTACTTACAATTATAGCTAGATTTTTCTCATACACATAAAATACACAATATCTTATAGATCTTTAAATTTGAATGACTTGAACATCCTTGCTTTTAACATAAACAGACGCTCAAGGTTTTGTTCGCTGTAAAATTACAAAGTCATACATTTTCATATTATGCACAAAGTAATTAATTACGCGGACATATGCAATTAGGCAGTAGATAGTGTTGTGTTTTTATAATAGATACCTGTGCACATAATAAAAAACTATGAATATAAAAAAACGGCTTATCGAAAGTTATCAGAACATCTATGTAATTCTTGCTAGCTTAATGAATAATTTGGTAATTATATTTTATTTTAATTATCATAAAAAATAAAAAGGACTAAATTTGGTTGAATAAAAATATATTTTATAAGGACTAGGTACTAAGTATATACTTTTTCATCTTGTTTTAGAAAAATGTTGGTTCTCTCGCACTATACTATCTTTCATCTCCTATCGCCTAACATTATCTATACATATAATAAAATTGTAACTAAACCGAATTTATACATAAATATATTTTTCATTAAATATTATTATCGATATAGAGGCCGAATCTATAGTTTTTAGAATTTTTGACTGTCTATCTGTGACCGCATCACAGAAAAAACACTCGAAAGATTAAGTAAAATTTGGTGTAATGATAGCTGGTTATCAACATATAGGATACTTCTTACTGCGGGAAAATATCTCATCTCTGAGAAATCTATGCTAAACGTTAAAACGTAAGCAGGAACGAACCCGAGAGAAGTAAGGGTGAGTCCTACGCTAATCCTACATAAAATCATAAAAACCTAAAGAATAATATAACCCATATATTTATAACGATTAAATAATAAAAATATAGAGAAAAATTCAAAAAGAAATCATATGTTAGAGACAATCCGTATGTTTACATTTTGTAACCTAGATATATGTAAGAGTATGTTGATGAAAGTGAAATAGTGTAATGTTAAACGTTATGTGAGCACATCTATTTTAACATTTTTGTTTATTGATGCTTACGAGAGAATAGACTAAGATGATCCATTCTGTTTTAATATATAATAAGAACTTTTTTTATATAATTTTGCTTTAATTTTTATTTTCCGTTTTTATTAGTTTATTAATAATTTTGTAGAGACAAATGTTTTTATTTTGAACATTAAACTAGTATTGAATAGTAATATTTTTTTTGTATATTGTATATATATTGTAACATTATGGTTACAATATTCAATTAAATATATTATGTATTCCAAAAAAAATCGTATTAAAATTAAATTAAACAAAACTTTTCGCCTATTGCCTCTATACATCACTTAATAAATAAGTAGATACATCTCGATTTTTTGTTGCTCACTACACATTATGTTATACATATATAATATGCTAATGAAATACTAAGCAATATAAATCATGAACGTCCATACCAGATTCTCTGCGATTTTAAAGCGGAAATAAGCGAACTCTCGGTTGAATAAGGAAACGGGAATACGTGATAAGCAGCTCAAAAGCGAGCATTTCTTATGATTTCCAATGCAAGGTCACGTTTACCTTAGCACATGCCAGGCACAGCTTGCAGCATCTGGATCAGATCCTTGTTGGTAGCTCCACCGTCTCCGACTCCCAATACCCTCAGGGTCGAAAACTGGCACTGCTGTCGCTTCACAAATACCGACGACAGAGACGCGACTTGAAGCGCATCCGCACCGCCCGGCACAACACGCCGACCGATCAAAACATAGCTCTCACGAACCTTTTCGACACACAGACTCGATTTGCAAAATTTATTCATCGCATCCGCCGAAAACACCTAAAATTTTTACGAGCCCCGAAAATAGGCACGTTATATCATGTGCACCCGGGAATTCGCTATTGCGCGCCACAAAATCACCATGAACTGTTGAAAAACACCATAAGATGGTAGAGCAAGTCCGCAGCCGCCGGAAAACTCGATTTCGCGATACACACGTGAGTGCGAGGCGCTCGCCGGCCACTGTACCGCGCGGTAAACAGAGAGAGCGCGCTCTACAACACACGCACACACATGTAAACCCTGCACAGATTCACACACGTGCATGTTTCTCAGCGCGCGCATTCTCGCTCGCAACAGAAATAGACCATCGCGCCATCGTTAACCAATAGGAACGTGGGACGATAGCGTCATATTCGTTTCTTATTGGAGAAGACTTCATTGACGGATTACCTACAGTTCAATTAGCGATTAACTAAAACTTTTTGATAAAACCTAACCGATACCAAATCGTATTCCTAGAAATATATCGAAAGTATTGTAAAAGTAATCAAGATTGCCGAATATTTCTAATTTAAGACCTTTGATGGTCCCTGTGCTTTTCGAATTCTCTATTAATAAGAATTATAATCAAAAAGTTCGTTACTGACGGCTCTACCAGCGCTACATTAGGAATAAAGTTTTGTTATTACTAACGAAACTTAGTTTAATTTTGAAAATGATTGAGTTCAACTTAACTTAAGGTAAGTATTAAATTATATTGCATCAAAATATGTACGTAACTAAAATAAATAAAAAATCATTATCTTTGATTTATTTATAATACTGGAACTACACAATTCGTCCACAACATTACAATCACCATAAGTCATATCACAAAGAATACACGGTTACATAAGTTCCTGATTGGTTACACGCTTACTTTTATTCAAAACAGTGCCAATTCAAATTAAAGGAAACATGGTATGTTAATAAGCGCAAACCACTCGTTGAATCGCACCTTTGCCTGCATATTGAATTCAGGGGTCAAAATTTCACTAACAAACGATTTACGTCTTTAATATTTCAATTATAAATGTTATTTTCCTAAATTCATATTTTAAGATAATTCTAAGAAATAAAAATAAACTTAGGTATTGTTATTAGCATACACATGGTTGGCGGAATTATTTGATATATTATCACGCTAATATTATAAATGCTAAATTTCAAAAAAGTGCGTTTGTTTGGTTTACACGGTGTAACAAAAGTTTAACGAATGTGATTGAAAAAACAAACAGGGCACTTACTTTACTTTATCAGTATACATATTACATATATGCCGCGCGCAGATAATCGCGGGCAAAGCATGTTTTAGATATTAGTATTCAAAGTTTTATTCAAGCTTACAATATTAAATGATCAATTCTTGTATATTATATAATATAGGTACATTATTTCATGTATCTCGGAAACCGCTTTAACGTTTTGGATCTATATATAGATAAGGTATTTTTTAGGGTTACGTACCCAAAGGATAAACCGGGATCTTATTACTAAGACTCCGCTGTCCGTCCGTCTGTCACTAGGTTGTATCTCCTGAACCGTGATAGTTAGACAGTTAAAATTTTCACAGATGATGTATTTCTGTTGCCGCTATAACAACAAATGCTAAAAAAACAAAATAAAATAAATATTTAAGGGAGCTTCCACACAACAAACATAATTTTTTGGCTCATTTTTGGTCGATATTTCTAACGGCAACAGGTAGACCCTTGAAATATTCACAGAATATTTAGTTATATGTTCACTTTAAAAATAAATAATTTAATTAAAATAAAACAAATATTTGAGTGGAGTATGATTTTTTTGCCCTTTTTTATACGCGAGTCCGACTTGCGCTTGGCCGGTTTTGAAGTTTGGCTATATAGACGTATTTTCTAAAAAACGCAATTTTTCACGAAAAATTTTTTATTTCTTATAATATTAATTGAGAAATGCTTATACATGTATGCATGTAAAAAAACATTATTAGAGTCTTTTTCTAACTGCTCTTATGCTAACAATGTCATACAGTGCCATCTCGTAAATTTTTGTGGGACTCGCATTGTCGGCAATGGACCTACTGAATAAGTGCCTAGTGCCTACGCCGAGTGAAGCTCGGTCGCCCAGGTACTCATGTAGTTAGAAGCAATAATAATCAGATTAATATATAATAACATAATATATAATAATACTAGCAGTGCCCGCGGCTTCACCCCGTCCAAACTTCCGATCGCTATCACAGCGTCCAAAATTCACAGGATCACCCGCTGGGCTAATCTGAAGATTAACTAAAAATTTCATCAAAATCACTTCAGCTGTTTTGGAGGCCATAGGAAACATACATACACACATCGATTTTAATTTAATTTAATCAACAATTTAAATCTATTTATTGCTCGGAAAATGGAGTCTTTTATGAAATTTTAGTGACACACCGACTGCTACTGTAGAGCTACCGGATTCATTTGTGTTTTCAAACCTTGCAGAGACCCACTTGAACGTACACAAAAAATATAATTAAAATCATCTCTGCCGTTTAGGACGAGTAGGTTAACAAACACACGTACAGAAGAATTATATATATTAAGATAATACGTAATATTATAAATGTGAAAGTTTGTGAGTATGTATGGTTGCTTGTTCCTATTTCACACCAGAACGGCTGAACGGATCTGGATGAAATGGAGTCTGGAATAACACAAAGGCTACTTTTTATCCCGAAAAAATATACGGTTCCCGGGGGACAGATTTGATTTTGTTTTTCTAAAGATGCGCCTAGCTAAAGCGTAGACTGGACAAATGATTAATACTGTAAAAAATCGATAAGTATCTCAGCTAAAATAACTCTATTTATATTAAGAATCACGAATAATTTAATATATATTAATACATATATTCGTACATACTATTTATAAATGTGAAGTGTAGTATGTTTAAATTCGCTAATCTTAGGAAGTTTATGGGTTTGATTGGAAAAAATATTTTTATATTAGATAGGGCGTATATTAGGTAAGACTATACACGAAGAAACACGTCTATCTATTCGCCTGTTTGTTATTGTCCTGGCCAATCTTTGGAGCAGTTTAAAAATGTATGTAACTAGTGAAGTTATATATTATCATTAAAGCGAAGAGATAAAAACATTAAATAACAAATATATTCTCAACAACGAGTAGTATAAAGTGTTAGATCAACAGTGTAAATTCTAACCAAGATCATGTAAAATTGCTGTTTTTTATAGAATCAATGTTTACATATTGTTAAATATTTTATACAATAAAGCTCTCATAGTACTTTTCAGAGTTATAAGAACTTATAAGTATATTAATAAGATCAGGTAGATCATTTTCATAGAAAAACAATCATCTATATTCTTTATTTATACTACAAATATTTTACGCCGATTATATGCTAGCTAGCTTCTGTTTATAATTTTACGGTCGAGTGTCATTTCAGAGATTACATAATGAAACCAACTTTTAAATAAAATTACAAAATTAATAGAGCTAGAGTTATAAATTTTGATTTATTTACTGTTTCCCCATGTAACAAATATCATCTGATCTAAGATTTTAATCTTAAACCGTATTTCATGATTTTGCTAATTATTTACTTTATCAAGTTATGCCTAACGAAACAGATAAGAGACTCTTCAAGAAAAATAACGTATTTATTGTTATTTTCAATTAAACACTACCATATCATGGCAATGGCTGGGCGTTTGGTAAAATAATGGCATTTTATATAACTAGTGACACTAGTCATTTTACTTACACGCGTTCTATATGTTAAACTTTATCTTAAATATATTCGATTTGGATAATATGGTAAAAGAGATAAGGCTTCTAATTAGGTTTTAGTTAGTAATCTAATATTATAAAGAGGCAGAGTTTGTTTGTTTATTTGTTTTGAGGAAGCAAGACTAAGAGCTATATATCATATAATATATAGTCTATTAAGTCCATACTAACCGTTAAAACATGCCTACGCTAGTTTAGAATAAATATGCTTAAATATGGTAAAGCCACCATCAGCCGTAACGACGACGTATCATGGAAAGAAGATAACCATTTTAGCGAATTTAAAGATCGAAGTGCACAATATGTTTAAAGTTTATTCAAACATTATAGACACAATTATACAAATTATATACTTCAATGTATGCACTAACACATATATTAGCTTCTAAGATATTTATAGCTCTGATTTGATTGTTTTATAAATATTGATAATATAATATATGACTCTACATAAAGCTATATATCTTAAATGAGTAAAATATATTATTACAATATATAAGAGAGAAAAATATTATTATGTAGGCAAACACAGAATGTTTTTGCTTACAAAATAATATTTCCAAAAACTCCGACGTAACCGCAAAAATGTGCAGCAATTTTTCTATGACCACCACAAAATCATTCAGTTTATAAGTACAGTCTCCTAAAGTAATACCTCACTAAATATCCATTTGAAAGATTACAATTGTACGTACGTAACAGATACAAAAAATCCACAGATCTCGTGTCTGCCACGACCTTAGAATGCATTGAAAATGAATTTGCCAAATGAACTGAATTAAATTTTTAACATATTAATTACTAGGAGAACAACCGATTTTGCCGGCGTTCAGACAACTTAAAAGTATTTGGAATCAAAACGATATTATCTATAGGTACATATTATAAAACTGTAGAGGTCGAATGTCTATACATAGAAAAAATATGCTAAAAACCGAGTAAGGGGGATGTAAGAAGAGAAATAGACAAATCCAGATTTTTTCATTTTTTTTTGTTTCTCTGTCTGTATTAGGTCGTACATCAGAATAACAAATAGGCTACTTTTTCTCCCGTAAAATTGTACGGTTCCTGTGGAATAGATTTGTTCTTGTATGTCTAGAAGCCGCTAGTAACTAACATATAATTTGATGGATGAAAGAGAAATCAATCAAAAGATTGATTGATACGCTATTTTAATCCGACCTCAAGCTATATAGCGCTATATAATCTTGTCGCGCACAAACGAAGTGCTCATGTTTTAACAATATCTATTTATGATCTTTTCTTTCTATTACTTTATGGATCTAGTGTGAATAGATTGTATAATTAAAATTAAATAATAATTGCGATATCATCAAGATGATGCACTTAGCTGAAGTTTTAATAAAGCAAACTGGACGTGATTCAGGCGCCATCACTGCACAATTTATCTAATTTGTGTACTGAACACTTAATAGCTTCCAAGGAAAATAGAGTCACAATGTCTTACCCACAACCTTCATTAATATTATGTTTCATTTTTTATAAATAAAATTCTGGAGA